ACCTAGATGAATTACCCTTTTGAAGGTCACCTTCTGGTGTGGTTTGGAAAACAGTGCTTTGAGTATAATTCTTTGTTTATTAATGCCACTTGATAAAGGCTCAGTGAACCCTATGTAATTTCTCATTTAAAATGAAAGTCTAGTATTCAGCTAATTGAAAACATGGCTACTTTATTTTGTTACAGCTAATTGGTATTCACAGTGATCATGTTTTACAGCTTCTAAATGTAATATTACCTTACAAGTTTATGGTTCAGCCCCCTTGGATATTTCAGTTCTCTCTGTTTTATGTCAGCATGTAGTTTTATTAGGTTCCTATATTTTGTGCCTCTTATGTAGTTCTGAAAAGGAATAAAGCTCTTTTCCCTGCTCTTATTTGCCTTTGTGAGTTGTAAGATAGATAGATAGAAATTAATTTTGCCTACCACAGATTATCCATATCATTGTGAAAGACTAAATCTTTCCCAGGCCATTATATAGGTGTATTTCAGATTTGTTACAGGATTTAAGACTGATAGGAAATACCTGTAACTACATTTCCTATTTAGATTGATTTACAGTTGTTGCCTTTTCTCAATCCTAGTAATCTCCAGCTTTATAATATCATCCCATGGAAAATTGAGCAGCTACCTGCTTTGTTTTCTACCTTGAGCTATTAAAATTGAACACTGGCATTTCAAGGAACTTTGTCATTTAAAATGCGCAAGCTTTCCCATAGCACAGAATCTTCCCTAACCGTGCCTTGTACTTGATGTATGATGTAACAGTACTACCTCTGAGCTAAGTGATTGTGATGTCACTGGTTTCCCAGTGCCTACACCCTGTGCCGTACCTCAGTCCCCAGGAGAAACCAGGCCTAAGAGGGTTGAGCTACTATGCCAAAAAGTTTTTGCTATGAAGATTTACCTAGGAACCTACGTGGGAAGGTAAAGTTCCTATCAGCACCATATGTCATATCCCTAATCTCAGTTTCTTCTTCTGTTAACCGTATTCTACCTTTGTTGTGAGCACCTTCAAGTATTTTCTGAGAAGAGGCAAGTCTTTAAGAAAGTAAACATGTGTATACTTCATTTTGACTGTAGCTACTAATGCTGAGTAAACATCAAAATGTTTGTGTTGGATTTCTTAAAGAAAACTTGATTTCCTTATTTTCTTTGTTTCTCATGCGTATGGGATGCTCTAGTTTTCCATAATGATCCACTTAAGCGCTTTCTGTCATGTTTTCAAAGCCCAATCATGTTATTCCAGATCTCACAGAATCTGAAACCTAATCAGTGCCTATTTCTTATAGTGGGAGGAATAGCAAACAGGAGATGGGGGAAAACTTTTTATATTCTTTTTTTTTTGGTAAGAAATGATTCAACTATACAGCACAGTAAATAATGCTATAATCCTCTTTGTTTTTATTTGTTCATTTACAATGATTGTGTATCTGTTAGGGAATTATACATAGAAGTTTTATTTCCTTGCACTTGGTTTACTGCTTTTTCTTAAGTTGAGTGTGACTCTCCATCCTCGGTGCCTATTAGCTTAATGAGTGGATTCTGGGCTTAAGTTTCAGGATTCATATTGTGTGACTTTCCCTCCCAGCATCACATTAACTGTTTCAAAGCAATGTGCCATGAGGACGTTGTGGCCGTGTTCTTGCTTTGTTATTCTCCCCAGTGGACCTCAGGCTATCGATCCTGTTGGCCGTCTAGGGGGAGGTTTGTGATGTTAGCCTGTAGTTTGGTGTTTTCCCGTCTTTGGAGGTGGTGCCTCATTAGCGTGCTTGTCTGAGCTTTTGGCTTGTTGCTTTACAAATTTTCAAGCATTACATCGTAGAAAAGTGAATAAGGATATTTCTGTATATCCTTTATTTAGGTTGTAATCAGCCCTTCAAATTAAATTTGTTGGTTGGTATATTGAATTATTATAGTGTTGAATTATTGTAGTGTTTTCTAAATAGTTATAATAGAATATCCATTGCATTTTCTTTGCATTTGTTGACATCTCAACTGCGCAACCATAGGAACAAAAGGAACATTATTTAGTGCAAGAGTTTTAAAAATGAAGGCAGGTAATGTCATACATTGAATGGGAGAGGGAATCAAGACCTAATACATTACGGATTTAGTAGGTAAAATAATTTCTATGCTATAAATAACTGTTCATATTGTTAAAACAAAAATTTTTTGTTTTTAGTGTAATTATTTAATAATTCACTCTTAGCTTCTGTACCATATTATGTTTCCATCTTGTAGTCAGGGGTGTATGTATGTGACAGTAATGTTTAAAAAATATTTTTCTGATTACAGAACTAATAACTGTTCATTATAGAAAATTTGGAAAATAGAAAACATTCCAAATAAGAAAAATATCCCACTATGCACATCATGTCCACTGTTAACATCTTAGCGTACTGTACACTTTCCGTCTATATAACCCCCCATCTATATAACCAGGCACTCAACCTTCCTTGTCCCTCCCTTGTTAACCAAAATTAGCAACTTACTGTACATGTTATTTTATGACTTTTTCCTCTCATCTAGTGTTTTGAGTTTTTAAAAAATTAATTATTCTATTAAAACATTATTTTTTGCTGAGGAAGATTTGCCCTGAGCTAACATCTGCTGCCAATCTTCCTCTTTCTTTTTAGTTTGAGGAAGGTAAGCCCTGAGCTAACAGCCATGCTGATCTTCTGCTATTTTATATGTGGCTTGCAGCCACAGCATGGCTGAGGGGTGGTGTAGGTCCATACCCAGGATCCAAACCTGCAAACCCACGCTGCCGAAGCAGAGCACGCTAGACTTAAGCACTACGCCACAGGGCTGGCCCCCAAAACATTATTATTATTTTGTTTTTAAGATTTTATTTTTTCCTTTTTCTCCCCAAAGCCCCCCCCCCCCGATACATAGTTGTATATTCTTCGTTGTGGGTCCTTCTAGGTGTGGTATGTGGGACGCTGCCTCAGCGTGGTTTGATGAGCAGTGCCATGTCCGCACCCAGGATTCGAACCAACGAAACACTGCGCCGCCTGCAGCGGAGCGCACGAACTTAACCACTCGGCCACAGGGCCAGCCCCCAAAAACATTATTTTTTAATGGCTCTTAATGTTTGATCATTATGGCTGGATTAAAATCTTTATAATCAATATTCTATTGTTGAACTATATCTTATTTACACAAACCTCTGTTTGTTCCCATTTTCTTGTTGCTTTAAATAATGCTGGCTTCATTTTCTTAGATACAAATCCTTATGTGCTTTTCATAGTATTTCCTAGGATTGTATGCCTAGAAGTAAAATCAGCCAAATGATAAGCAGATTAACAATAATGAAGATACATACACACATACATCCATCTATTTACATGTAGTTATTTTCATAAATTTTAGTATACTTAATTTGTATTCACTTTAAAACATTTAAATTTATTCTTAGTGATACATAGTTCTGAGTTTTGACAAATACATGCAATTGTGTAACCAGCACCAAAATCAAGAAGCAGAATAGTTCCCTCACCTCAAAAAATTCACTCTTTTGTCCCTTGACTACAAAATATATTTATTTTTAGTTTGGAAAACACAATGAAACAAAAATAATTAGAAACCACCCATAAACCTACTGCACTGCTGGAACCTCTGTTGACATTTTGTTGAATATCCTCCTGGTCTTTTTCTTTTCTTCTCCACAAAAAAAGAGATCAGAGTGTCCTACCTGGTTGTAGTCTGCTTTTTTAACTTAGTATATTTTTTATTTAATCAGTAGATTGGTTTTTGTTTTTGTTTCTTTGCAATTCTAAACAACCCTATCATGGACATCTTTGCATGTTGATATAGTTACTTAAGAAAAGTACCTAGAAAAGAAAATTACCCAAAAGTAGAGTGTTTAGACCTCAGTGCATATGTACATTTTTAAGACTTAATGCATTTTGTCAAATTGGTTTAAAAATGGCTATACCAATTTACATTCTGACCAGGAGTGTATAGAAAAGCCTGTTTTCCTGTATACTTACCAATATTATTATTATTTTATATTTTTGTCAATTTGATAGGTGAATAATGGAACTTCATTATTTCCGTTTTCATGTTTGACGTCTTGTGGTGTTGGGTTTTTTTCATGTGTTTTTATTTATTTTTTTGTGTGTGAATTGCCAGTTTATGTCATTTGTGTATTTTTCTTTTGGCTTTTTTGAGGTAGGTGGGTGAGGTAGAGGGCTTTTTTCTTTTTGTTTTTTGTTTGCTGAGGAAGATTAGTCCTGAGCTATCATCTGTGCCATTCTTCTTGTATTTTGTATGTGGGATGCCACCACATCATGGCTGATGAGTGGTGTAGGTCCACACCCAGGATTCAAACCCGCTAAGCCTGGGCCACCTAAGCAAGGTACGCCAAACTTAACCACTAGGCCATGGGGCCTGCCCTGGAGGGCTTATTTTTGAAGTGCTCTGTATGTTAATAACATATTCTCACAGTTACATGTTGGAATTTCTTTTTGTCTTTTGCTTGTTCATTTGATTTAATGATTTTTTATTTTATGGAGGGTCTCATAACACCATTTCCTTTATTTATATTTTGGGTTTGTGTGTTGAATTTAGAGAGATCTTTTCTCTTTAAATCATATAGTCATGGATATTTTCTTCACACGTAGCTATGTTAAAAATTCTTTCTCCATTTACTTTTTCTTTTATATACCTGACAGACTAGTGAGGTTTTTACTGTGTTGTACCAAGGAGTCATATATTATGTTCTTGCATATGAATGCATTTATCTAATCTTAATATTGTATTTGTTTTTATTTATCCATATGCTTTCAAGCAGCATGAACTTTTCATTGAAATTTTCTATTCAAACTGTAACAGCACAATGACATTTAAGTGTCCCGTGTTAAGCAAGTCCTTTTATGTTGCCTTCTTTAGTTTGCGTTTTAGATAGATACTATCCATCAGATTGCTCTGTGACATTAGAAAAAAGCAGTACTTAGATCGTTAAATCACTGTTTGTTTGTTTCTGACATGCTGCAGGAGATTGAAGTCAAGGTAAGTAGCAAAACAGCCACCTACGAATGTGCAGATGGGTTTACCTAAACTCAGCGCGTAGTGGACAGTCACCCTGACACAGGACGAGTCAGGCGACACTTGATGTCCTTGCAAAAAACACAGTGCATGGCAGAAGGGTGAGAATGCTGAAATACGTACTTGCTTTATCTCTTAAAATTCCTAGTCAGGCGTGTATTCAGCATTCACTCAACAAAAATATGTTACAAAACTTTTCTAGCTTGGGGTGATATCAGGAGCTCTGTTCCATCAGAGATAAGGGTCACTTAAATAAGAATCAAGATAGAAATGATGCATATTTGCCTTGAGAAATGCTTTTTTTTTTTAACTAATCTTGAAAAATATCCATAAGTAACTATCTTTGTCATAATCTTTTTCAAGAATCAAAAATACTTGTAACTTATTTTTTAATTTTGTAAAAAAAGATCTTGTAAATTAGAAGTGGGATACCTAAGGGTTTTTAAATTACTTATTTTTATTATTAATTATTTTTAATTATTCAAACAAACAATTATAGTAGTTTTTGCCCCTCCAAAGACAACTACTTTATACAAAAAGAAATAGACCAATACACATATTTATATGCAGGTTTCACTGTGTAATTTAAGGGTTCTCAAATATAAGGTTTATGTACAAAAAGTTATATAAGCTTTTTTGTTGTTGTTGTTCAAGAAAGAAGGCTAGTAACCATGTGTCTTAGGCCCAGAATAAAATCAAAGTTTTGTTATGTAAAATATTAATCCTTGAAATTACTCTTTGAAAGAGAAGTTAAATAAAACTGTCTGTGCTGTATTCTGACATTTCCAAATACATTTGGACAAAGTAGGACACAGCTGTTACAGTAAAAAATAAAAACAGAAACAATGTGGACTCATTCTTTACATTTAAATACAGCAATCATCATCTTATTAATGTTTTTCTATGGCAGAGACCTAATAGATTGCAAAAATCTTCAGCCTTGTGTACTTATTTCTAATGCAATTTATACTTGACTTTTGCTTTGCTGTTGCTGCTTTTTCTTGATATCGTATATTCTTCATTTCTTATTTTAGGCTAAGCAGCTGGAAGAGAAAGATCGAGTGATAAAGAAGCAGGATGCATTCTACAAAGAGCAGCTGGCTAGACTGGAGGAGAGGGTATGACTGTTTCTTGTCATTGACTCTCTTCTATTACCACATCTGCAGCTTTCCCATGTATTTATTTAAAAATCAATAAATTAGAACCATAACTGCTTTTTCTAGTTAAAAAGTAGCCAGGAAGTGAAGAAGCCAGGCAGGTAGATCATTCTTGCAGGGAGTGTCATTTCTACTTTGGTAGTTTTGGGTATGGTTGTGTTATTTGGTCATAGATGCATGTTACCACTTACGAGCTCCCCCAAATATTTTTCCTTACATGTTTAGAAACTGCACTGCCTCCAGGTCAAACTGTAGAATGCTCCTCTGAACGCTCCCAAATATTGACTAAACCTGAGTAAATTCTTAGAAATGTAGTGTTTTAAAGGATATATAGTCTTCTTGAAAACTCAGTTTCACTGCATTTGTGGCTAAGAAATGAATATCTTTTTCAAGAGTGGTAGTCAGGAGCTGAACAGTAGGACTTAGGGAGAAGAGCTAGGAGGAGAAGTTGAGGCAGTACCTCTAGTCAGCATGGACCTAGAGTTTGGCAGAACTGCCAAGGAGGGAATTAAGGATGAAACAAAAGGAGGCAGTGGGTTTAAGAATGGGAGTTTGAGCACCTAATCAATGTCCCTGTTCAATAAAGTAGATTTGTCTACAATAATTTCATACATAGACCATGAGGTTACAAAGATAAGTCTCTCTTCCCTTTGATTGAGACCCCCAAAGTTTGATTTCTTTAGAATTGGATGTTTAATAAGGAATTAGGTAAAATAAATACATTTTTAAGCCCCATTCAATACAACTATTTATGTTAAATGTGTTTATCCGTCTGTCTATGTCACTGGACTGAGGGCTTCTTGAATGTAGAGACCATTTTCTCATTCATTCACCAGATATCTAAGTACCTAGTATATGTCAGACTCTGGTCTAGTGCCAGAGATATACTAGGGAAGAAAATGAGCTAAGTTTCTGCCCACATGGAGCTCAAAATCAATTAAAACCCAGTATATATATTGTATGGCAGGCTGTGCTAATATGGTGAACCATAAAGCAGGGAAAAGGGAGTCCCAGGGCTCAGGAGTGTAGGTTTGGGGTTGAGTGGAGAGGGAGGGCCTGTCAAACAGGATGGCATTTGGAAAGCGGTCTGCAGTCATGGGGAAACAAACCAGCACCAAAGCCCTGAAGCAGGTGTGTGCTTGGCACGTTGAGAAAGGCCAGAGGGGTTATGAGCAGGAGAGTGTTCTGGCTGCTGTCTTGAGCAAGAACTGAAGCAAGAGAGACTTAGTAAGAGGTAATGGCAGTAACTCAGAAAAGGCATGCTGAAGGCTTGGGCCAGGGTGTTAGCATTCGATGGGGTGAAATGTGGTTGGATATTTCAAAGGCAGAGCTAACCAGGTTTGCTGATGGTTTTGAATGTGAGTAAGAAAGAGCTCAAAGATACCTTTTACAAACTTTTACAACTAGAAGGATTTATTTTCCATAGGGGAAGACTATTAAAATATGGATCTGGATGTGCATAGTAGAGGAAATCAGGAGTTTGATTTTGGATATGTTAAGTTTGGGGTATTTCTTAAGACATCTAAGTAGAGATGTTAAATAAGCATAAAGTGGAATGACTTAGAGCAGAAGTCAGCAAATTTTTCTGTAAAGGGCCAGATGGTAAATGTTGTAAGCTTTGCAGGCCACGTATGGTTTCTGTTGCAGCTACTCAACTCTGCCGCTGTAAGATGAAAGCAGCCGTAGCCAATATGTCAATGAACAAGTGTGACTGTGTTCCAATTTATGGACACTGAAGTTTGAATTTCATATAATTTTCACGTCATGAAATACTCTTCTTTTGTCTCTACCCCCCTCCCCGCCCCAACTGTTTAAAAACGTAAAACCATTCTTAGGACTATGTAAAATCAGGTGGCGGGCTGCATTTGACCCCTGATTTGTAGTCTACAGAACCCTGGTTTAGAGCCCAGACTCTGACATCACTTGGCTTGGATTCAGATCCCTGAACTGGCATTTACCTGCTCAGTATCTCAGAGCATCTTACTTAAACTTCGTTTCCTCAGCTGTGAAACAAGAATATAATAGTTACTTACCTCACTAGTTTGTTAAATGAGCTAATTCTCATCAAGCATCTCTAATAGTGTCCAGCACAGAGTAACCACTCGGTCCACAGTAGCTCATATTTTCCTTCTGTCCTTCCAGAGCACCGTACCTGACAGAGTTAGTAAACGTAAGCTGAATAAAGTGAATGAGAGTGCAAGTTTTAGGGTGATTTCCCACACCTCATGATGGTTTTCTTTGCCGTCAAGTATAGCTATGCTAGGTACCTTTTGAATTTGTCACTGATCACTGTTAGGTACAAGAAAATGCACTGAAAAATATTTGCCCATTTCACGTAGATCCATCAATTTGATGGAGACAATTCAGTGATGGGGGTGAGGGTCTGAGAGGGTTTGTTCTAAGCAGATTGAACTGGTCTGCTCTGCAGCTAACTATTGCTTTTGGCCTCAGGTTAGAACAAGTGGTAGAAGATCAGGTAGATATAGGATGATGCTGTCAAATCATTGTGATTACTGTCTTCGTACATAGGCAAAATATGTACTTTTTTCCTTTTTTGATGATAAGACTGGAAAGTAGTGTTATATTAGGATTTTAAGTGAAAGCTGAGAAGCACTAGTGAGCTTGGAAGAATCCTGAGGTGGAATAATCACACTGTACTATTAGTTAAGACTTAGTAACTCCACTTAGTAACATGTGGCAGAAAGAAAGCTGGACTAGGAGTCAGAAGGCATGGCTTTGTCATCTGGTTATTTGACAGTTCACCTAATCTGTTGTAGTCTCTGGTTCTTCATCTATAAAGTGGAAATAATACTCTGTTCTTTGCTCACCTTTGTGAGTTAGTGGGGGAACCAGATAAGATGATACATTTGAAAGCCCCTTGAAAACTGAAAAGAACTTAACAGATATAAACTGTTACCATTAGAGAATATTTACTTACTTTCCATCGTGTACAAGATACCAATAATCATAAAATTAGTATTATTCAACTTCATGGTGTCTTCTGCCCATTTCTATACAATCCTGTTTTCGTTTATCACTGCCATTCCTAAAGTACCTAAGTTGAATTTTGTCCAATTGGATTTCATCTAGGAGTATTTGAGAGACGGTTAGGTCTACAATGGTGAAGGATTTTCTGGACTTAACGCAAAAAATTGTAAAAAATGTTTTTCTTGTGATGATGGTGAAAAGTCCAGTGTCTAACCATTTCTTTTAGGAATTCTGCACACTTCGTGTTAGAAGCTGTGGAAGTGCTGAATACCAGAGTGCATAATGTAAGAAAAAATAATGATGATATTATGATAACTTGCAGAATCATTTAACTTACCCTGAAATCCAGCTTGCCTGTGGTTTAAAAGTAGAGATAAATACATATCTTTTTATATTTTAACCAAGTGAAATGAGGAAACCATAAACAAGGTGGCATACCATTACTGGAGAGGGGGTTTCGAGTCTTTTACAGAATCATTCCAAGGATTTCTAAGATCACCTTACCATCTGCCCATCAACTAGATTAACACACAGTAATTATGTACATTATCACTTTTTGATGACTCATCATCTTAGTACTTGAACTATTTGTTTGTATTGACTTGATGCAAATTTCTTTTGAGTCTGAACCCAAGTCTAATGAGCATGTGAAACACATTGAGTTTCTGTAGCACAGCTTGGTTTGCCTGTTGGATCTGTTTCAATAAACTCTTTATCAATCACATATTCTCTGTGTGAATGGAGCTTTCTCCTCCCGGGTATTTATATTAGCTAGTTCACCAGGAGTCTGAGATAATTTTCTTCTTTCACTAACTCTTGAGGAATAATGTGTTTCACCCTTCTTAGAACCAGTATTCCAAAGCAGCAACTCGACTGAGAAAGAAGGTGAAAGTCGTTTGAAAAGTTTTTCAAGTGCTTACTTCATTGTAAATGTTGCCAGCTTTATCAAACAACACTAACATAGATGTGAAGTATACTTATATTTTAAGAACATTAGAGGGATCGCGTTTAGGTGTGTGGCCTGACTGAAGGCGACTCGAGTATTGATTCCTGATTGTTGATGTTAGAGGCGTGGGGAGTATTAATTCCTGACTGGTGGTTTGATGAGAGGAAGCCCAGGGCAGCTTTCAAAGAGAAAGGTCTTAAATGTCCTTGCCTGAGGCGCTCAGGGAATTCTCCATAGTGCTTTATACACCTCTCTTTATGATGTCACATTTATGATAATTGTGGTTAGTTATCTGTGTTTATCTTGTAAACTCCTTGAGGGCAAAGGTCATTTTCTTATTTCTGTGTTTTCCACAACTCACATAGTAGGAGTTGAGTGAATGAGTCCTGGCTTTACTAAGCTTAGACCGTAAAGTTATGTCTAAGCAGTTAGTGTACAGTTTGTAAATATCCACAAAACATTTAGTATCTTCTTCACTAGTCGTTTAATAGTTTAAATGTGTCCCATGAGAAGATCAAGTTTGTTTGAATATCTTGATGTTATTTATAGCATCGTCATCATCGTAGTAGCTCACAATAACATTTATTGAGCACTTACATTGTGCTAGGCGCTTGGCATGGATTATGTCTTTTTATTCTTACAAACAGCCCTATGAGGCTGTCAACCCTGTTGTTTAGATGAAGATCCTAATGCTTCAAGTAACTTGCCCAAGAATGCACAGCCCAACTGTGACCTGGATTTGAGCCAGCTCCAACACCTGAGCTTAGCTGTTACCCAGTACTATCTTTAATGTTGGTCAATTCTGCACTTAAGTAGGTAAATCCTGCTGATGGTTTTGTTAGTTCTTTAGGTGATAAGTTAGCTCTTCCTGGCTTCAAATACAACTTTTGAGGTCCTGATCTTAAAATTTGATTAATGCTACCTCATAACCTGAACTGTTAAGTATTCAAAATGCATAACTTTCTCTCCAGGATTTGGCACTTCCTGGGAAAATTTGACCAAAAGGGAATAAATAAGGTCTTATTAC